TATTATGCAAATGAGGTCCTTATTTGAATAAGTTATGTTAAATTATGTTCACCTTCACTAAACTTCAAACACCCCAAGTATAAAATTCCAGGCAGTTACCACTATGCAATTATAACATTTTCTCATTAATTATGCAAATTAAGTCTTCATTTGCATAATCGATATCTGCCTGTGTTTCTCTCGTTGTTAATAACATATGTCACAAGCTTGAACTTCCTATCATGGAATGTAGCTGATTAATAGAATTTCCTCATTAATTATGCAAATTACATCCATATTTGCATAATTGTAATATCATTATGTCAAGCATTACTCAAGCTACCTACATACCAAAAATCATGATGATCCATCAATCGGTTCTTGAGTTATCCTCCTTTAAACATTTGTCCTTTAAACCCCCCTACAGTTCCAGAGCAAGCCGCTAGGGGGCCCAAACTCACGTCACTTCTTCCCCAGCACAAGAGCTACCTGCCATCCAAATTTCGTCACCCTAGCTTGTCTAGATCATGAGATATCAAAACCGGAAGTTCAGCTGCAGTACCATGACAAGCCGCCAGGGGGCCCAAAATCTAATCAGTTCAAGCTCTCATCAAGACCTACCCACCTACCAAATATCAAGATAATCCATCTAAGCTTTCTCGAGTTATGCTGTTGACACACAGACAGACAGACACACACACGGCTACGAAAACATAACCTTCTCCAATTCTTGGCGAAGGTAATAAGGGTCTTAAGAAGAAGTAGAAATTCTAGAGAGTAAGTTCTTTAAGTTTCAGCTAATAAATCTTTAACCTGAGCAAAAAATCCAGGGTTACCGACTGTTACAGGTTCCTCTTAAATCTCCCAGAACAGTTGGACACACACCAAAGTCAAGGTTCCACTGTAATATTTGGAGTCTAGTGGTCGTTTGGTATCTTAGCTTCTATAATATCTTAGTATAGAGAGAGATCCAAACAGTTCGATTACTTCTGCTGAGCCAGGTTTATTGATCCGTATGTTAACTCTAAAGCAGGTAGATGGGGTCTAATGGTTCACAAGGAGTTTAGCACGGGGTTGGAGCTCAGCACCTCCTTCAACTTCAGGAAGGCCCTCTCGCACTCCTCATCCCAATTGACTATATTTGGCTGGCCCTTCTTCAACAGATCGGTCAGAGGAGCGGATATAGTGGCCATATTTGGGACGAAATCCCGGTAGTAGTTCACGATACCAAGGAAGGCTCTTACTCCCTTCTTGGTCTTAGGTTGCGGCGTTGATTGGATGGCTGCCACCTTGGAAGTAGTAGGGGACACCTCCCCCTGTCCTATCATCTTCCCCAGATACTCAGCCCTCGGGACGCCGATAGTGCACTTAGACGGTTTGATCGTCAGTCGTGCCAACTCCAGACGCCACAGTATCTCGTCCAGTTGGCGGAGGTGATCGTCCCATGTATCACTGCTGACGATGATATCGTCCATGAAGGCTCTGGCAAAGTCCTCGGTTCCTTTCAGGACCCGGTCCATCATTCGCTGGAAACATGCCGGCGAGTTCTTCAACCCAAACGGAGCCCGAGTGAACTCGTGATGTACAAACGCTGTTTGGAACGCAGACTTACGACGCGCTCCCCTTGTCAAGGGAATCTGGTAGAAGCCCTTTGTAAGGTCAATCACCGTAATGTACTTAGCTGCGCCAACCTTATCCACCAGCTCCTCCACCCTGGGCATGGGGTACTTATCGTGTCGGCATTGAGCTTCCGATAATCCACACACATGCGCACTCCTCCGTCCTTCTTCCCGACAAGGACCACCCGGGCGCAGTAGGGGCTGTCTGACTCCACTATGATGCCTTCCTCCATCAGGGTGTCCAGCTCCTTCTTCAGGGTTGGCCTGACTGCATGCGGGAGAGGGTACGGCTTCTGGGAAACTGATTCGTCCTGATGTGTCTGGATGTCCATTTCCGCCATGTTTGTGAGGCCTGGTTTACTCGAGAACACCTTCGCATACTTCCGAACCACCTCCTGTACTTGCTTCAGTTGAGCCTGAGTTAGCTGCTTGCCATAGGTGATCTTTGACAAGTCTTCTTCCTCGCTTGTCCACTCAAGCCCCTGTACCTCGCTATCAAACTCGTCTTCAACTCCGGCGAAAGCCGCAATCTGCACCGGCCTCTCCCAGGGACGTAGGAGGTTAACGTGGTAGATTCTCTTCCTCTTCACACGGCGTCCCGTGTCCACTTCATAGTTGACGTCGTTTAGCCTCCGCGTGACCTTGTACGGTCCAGCCAGTGCTTCTTCAGTTTGCTTGCAGAGGTGGGCAGCAAGACGAGGACTTCTTCTCCGATGTCCGACGGAACTGTCGGTCTCTGGCCTTCTTATCGTACCAGACCTTCGACTTGCTCTTCTTCTCCTCCTGCATCTGTTCTGACCATTCCTTGGCCCACTCCAGTCTGTTCTTCACCTCCGTGATGAACTCCACCACATCTTCTTCTGGCTCTGGAGTGTCCAGCCACGCCTCCTGTAGGACCTTCAGCGGGCCTCTCACTTGTCGTCCATATGTCAGCTCAAAGGGCGAGAAACCTGTCGACTCGCACGGCGTATCTCGATACGCAAAGCATATGTAGGGCAGGTACTCGTCCCAGTCCTTTGCTTCTTCATCGACCAGCTTCCGGAGCATCTTCTTCATGGTCCCATTGAACCGCTCGCACATGCCGTTAGTCCAAATCTTGTCAATGCCCAACAGCTGACACATCTGTGTAGTGATTTCGGCCATGACATTTGCTCCCTGATCACTGAGAATCTCCTTCGGGATACCGACACGAGTGAAGAACGTGATAAGTTCCTTCACGACTCTCTCTGCTTCCATTGACGGCATGGGGATAGCCTCTGGGTATCTGGTCCCATGGTCAATGATGGTGAGCACGTATTTGTTTCCAGACCAGGATCGGGGAAGGGGGCCTACAATGTCGATGCCTAGCCTCCTGAACGGCTCGCCGATAACAGGTGGGCACACCATCGTGTGTCTGTCGCCCGCTCGCCGGGTCGCCGTCTTTTGACACTCCGGGCAGCTTCTGCAGAACTTCTTGACATCTCTGCCCACTGCCGGCCAGTAGAAGTGCTCCCTTGTACGCGTGATACCGAGGTGACCTGACAGTGGTATTGAGTGTGCCAACCAAAGCATCTCCCGCCGGTGGGTCCATGGCACCACAACCTGCATCACCGTGCCTCCCTCCTTGTGGTCTTCCCCCGGTCTCGCTCGCTTCGTCCACTTCCTCATGAGGAAGCCGTCCCTGTTCTTGACGAAGCACGTCTCTAGATCCTTGGCGCGTGCTTCGCTCACGGCATCCTTCCATGCTGACCGCAGGGATGGGTCTTCCCATTGCTGCTTCCGCAACTCGTCGGGTCTCAAGTCAAACACCTTCGGTGTCTGTCCGCTAGTTCCTTCCAAGCTGACGGAGTCACCGTCGTCGTCCTCGGACTTGGCCTCCTCTCCGTCCTCTTCCGGAAGGATTGGACTGGGTTTGACCCCAGTCTTCTTCTCATCCTCGGCAATCCTCCTTGCCATTTCTTCTTGCTTCTTGGTCTGGGCTCGAGTAGCAACACATGCTGTCTCGTAGTCATTACCAAGCAGTACCTGGGTATGGAGTATCCATAACTCCAACCTCCATTAACTTCTCACTTCCTCCCACCTCCAGCTTAACTCTCGCTGTGGGGATGGTATCAACCGTTCCATTGGCCAGCCTGACCCTGACTGTATTCTTCTGGTAGGCCTCCTTAGGCACAAACCGCTGGTTAACATAGGTCATGGAACTTCCCGTGTCTCTATACATCTGTACGCGCTGGCCATTTACAGTACCCTTGCTACTGTGCTTGCTCTCCTCCTCCCCCAAGGCTCCGTCCCAAAACTGGTAGCGACCTTGGGCGAACATACTCTTCTTCGGCGCTTTCGTCTGCGTCCGGGGACAGTCTGCCTTCCTGTGACCTGTGGCATCACACTGGAAGCACTTCCCTTGAAACTTAGCCGGACTCTTATCATAACCTTTCGTCGGTTGGTGCATCGTGGGTTTGCTGACATGGTTCTGGGGGGTTGAGGGCTTTGGTGGTCGTTCTGGGCTGATTGCGTAGGCGAGCGCCGACGGCCAACGTACGGTTGTGCGCAATCAAGTACTGCTGGCTCAGTATTCCTACCTCCTCTAGGGATTTTGGCTTTCTCTCCCGGAGGTGTATCGCCAAATCCATCGGGCACAGATCTAGGAATTGTTCCTGGATAATCAGGTCACAAATTCCCTCAAACGTTTTTGAAGTTCCTGACAGCTCGATCCACCTGTTGAGGTAGCTGGATAAACGCACGATATACTGATCAGGCCCTTCCCCTTCCTGAGGAATTTCCGACCTGAACTTCTTGCGGAACCCATCTTCGGTAAGCTCGTACCTCTTTAGAATGGCTTCCTTTACCTTGTCATAATCTTGCGCCTCAGCGTCAGACAGCCTGCTGTATACGTCTAGTGCTTTCCCTGTTAGTAATGCACTCAGCGATGACGCCCACGTGCCTTCCGCCCAGTGGTTAGCGCGCGCAAATCTCTCGAACCTCAGGAGATATCCGTCTATTCCCTTGCCCTCCGTGAAACTTGGTAGTCTTGGCGTCTTCGCCTTGACCTCCTCCGCAGCTTGCTTCTGCCCCGCCTTATACTGAATCTCTGCTTGTTTTAACTTGAGAGCTTCCAGCTCCAGTTCATGCTTCCTCTGGGCATCTCTCTCTCTAGCCCTCTCATCCCTCTCAATGGTCTGTTGTCTTTCAACATACTGCAGGATGTCCGACCCTTCCAGGCCCATTTCCTTGGCCTGCGCTATGAGTTTGTCCGTCATGGTTGGCTCAGGTCAGGGACCTACCTGCTACACAAATGTACAATCCCCTGGTACTCCTTAGTAACAAAACCCAGGTGGTCTGAGCAACTAGCAGCCACCTCAATGCTACCCAATCTGGACTAAAGAGCATACAATGTACGGCGTCCCTGCAGTCAATGCACTATCCCTCCCAGACTCAGTGTCTCTGACAAAAGTGGAACCAGATGTGAACAGTGAACCCCACTCCAAGAATGCTATACTGAACTAGCCCTAGCTGTAGCTACCTGTCAACAACACATGGCTCAATCCATCAACAGCACATTCTTCAGCAAAGTAAAACCTCACAGAACAACACAAAACTTCTGGAAAATACACTTCTAGGAGATACAGACTTCCACTTAGAAGTTAGTTCTAGAAACTCGCAACAGGTCATCAAAACAACAAAATACACCAACTGTTACCAGCCGCCTCCGTCGGCCTCTCACTGCCACAGTCTTACAGTCCTACAGAAGTCAGTTCTGAAGAATTGGTCCAATTCCGTCTCTTCCACGGTGAGTTCGCGACCCTCCTGGAATCTTCTCTTGCTTCCACCGCTTCCACTGACCGCCCCGTGAAGCACCAATCCGCGTAGCCTTAGCCTGAGGTAATATTCCAGTCTGATCGTGATTGGGGGTATTGGGGTGTTTAGGCAGGTTGTGTCTTCGGGGCCTCTAAGGGCTTCCCCCGCCCAGTGCAACAGGCCGCCCCGGTAGGAGTTTTACGCTAATCAGAGACAGTATGCTCGGGGATTTGGTTTCCCCCCATCGTGGAGGGTTAATCAATCTCTCGTGAAATACACACCGGGAAGCTTATGTGAGGCGGGCGGGCCAGAGTTCTTGCGGCCCCGACCACGAATCAGACTGGATACCACTCCCTGGCTAACAGACAAGTTGATTGACTCACCTCAGTATGGAAGTTAAGTTATCTTCAGTCTCCAAACTCCTTAATGTGAGGGAGTCCGTCTTAACTCACAGCTGTCTGTCAGCCAGGATAAACAAAGTGTAAATCTGCACTGCTGTTCAGTCAAGAGCAGGAAATGTGGTGTGTAGCTATATATAGGCGAAGGGAAACTTGGCTGAGTCTGTGTGTGTCATAAGCCCTAAGGCCACAGCAAGTAAATTTTATGGATGACATCCTCCACAGACTCCAAATCTAATGCGAGCGGGCGAAAAAAAAACAAGGCAGGCCGAAAAAAACAAGGTTCCTACAAATTAAAATTTTGACTCAATCATTGTACAAAAGGTTTTGCTTTAGTAGGAACATCACATATACACAGCCAACATCACATATCACCGCATCAAAGTAAGAAACAACATCAAATCAGAGCCTTTTCTTGTCTCCTCTCTTCATGTGTATCTGCCATCCACCTTCGCCCATTTTCGGCATGTTGACCACTGTCAGAAAGCAACAAAATTTCTTGTTTTTTTTTTTCAAAATCAGGCGAAAATTAATGCGCACGCGGATGTCATCCATAAAAATTACTTGCTGTGGCCTAATACAGAGCCACACATGGAAAAACAATGCTGTCGAGCCAAGATCTGAGGAAATGTGATGCTCACAGGGCAAAGGGGAACTTGGCTGAGTCACTCAGGATTTGTAGGAATGCATGACTGTGCAAAGCTGTTGGTGTTATCCAGAGCCACGCAGGAGGAGGAAAAACAATGCTGTTCACACTACCAACTTGGGTAACTCACCCCAACAAAAAGGGTACACTACTCTTGCATTGTTTCTATGAAAATATGGTGGTGTGAAACCAATTTGGTGTGAGGATGATCAGCCAAGATTGGGAAACAGGATGCGTCACAGGGCAAAGGGGAACTTGGCTCAGACGCACAGGGTTTGTAGGTAACGCATGACTGTACAAAACAATGCAAGATCTGTGCATATAACCAGCTCCTTTGTGTGAGCTGTACTGTCGACATGTCTAGGCACAATTAGACAATCTCCAAGCAGATCCCTTTCGGTGGTAAAAAAACAGTATCAAATAATGGCCGGGCAGTATCCATTAGCCACTGACGGGTTGGAGGGGGTACGGACAAAAAGAAGGCCATATATAAAAAGCTAACGATCATCCCCCACAACCTCTGCTTGGAGAGTACGATTAGAAGCTGAAACAGGAATCTGATGTAATTTTATATATACTCTGGCGAGGCTAAGACACAAGTCAGTTACATGTTGTATTTGTTAAGCTTGTTTTCTGTACTTTATGAGTTCGTTTGTGTTTTCTTATTATTATTAATATATAATGACTCTATGATAATTGTACTTAAGTTAGTTTATACCTTTCTTTTTATCACATTATGTAATTGTCATGTTCTGAGTACAATTTTTGTTTCTGCTCGTTTGTGCACAGGTTAACGAGGGCCACTGGAAGTGGGGGGAGGAGCACACGGTGGAGATCAACAGCGCGTTCCTGACAGGCGTGTACGGGATGTGGAACGTCTACGTGTTCAGTGTGATCTGTCTGTACGCACCGAGCCACAAGAGGAAAGGTCTGGAGGGGCAGCACTCCCGCAGCAGTCCTCCAACATACAACTGGGTATGTCTGTGTGTGTGTGTGTGTGTGTATGTGTGAGTGTGTGTGTGTTTGTGTTATATGTGTCTGTGTGTGTGTGTCTGTGTGTGTGTGTGTGTGTGTCTGTGTGCCTGTGTGTGTCTGTGTGTGTCTGTGTGTGTGTGTCTGTGTATTTTTGTGTTATTTGTGTATGAGTTTGTGTGTGTGTGTGTATGTGAGGAGTAAGGTGTAAAGCACCAGCATTTTTTTTGTGAATTAAAGGCTGTATGGGGAGGGGGTGAAGTCTGCCATCTCTGATTGTCTCATGTTTACATCATTGAGAAATTGACTCTGATTTTATGGTAACTTCCAGAGCGTGAGACTTTGGAGGACGGGAGTAACGAGGAGATCGAGTTACGCCTGACGAACAGCCAGGCCAGCGGCGTTGCTGGAGAGCTGTCCGTCATCTACAAGATCGCTGGCAAGGAGGCTCAAGAGTAGCCAATGGGAGGGGGCGAGAGATAGAGGTGGCCAATCAGGGGAGCCGGTCTGGGGAGACTTAATAAAGATTAGGGCTTACTAACAGTTGGGATGTTACTATCTACCACCCCATATCTGCTTGGAGATTTGGCCTGGCTGACAGTTGGGATGTTACAATCTACCACCCCATATCTGCTTGGAGATTAGGGCTTACTGACAGTTGGGATGTTACAATCTACCACCCCATATCTGCTTGGAGATTTGGCCTGGCTGACAGTTGGGATGTTACAATCTACCACCCCACATCTGCTTGGAGATTAGGGCTTACTGACAGTTGGGATGTTACAAT